TTGCTTTTCATAATTTTTAGTGACCTACTTGGAAAATAAACCAAATTCCTAGCTTTTTGGATTTGGACACTGACAAAAAAACAAAACAAAAAACAAATGCTAAACAAGATTCAGAAGAATTTTTTAAATTTATAAAATAACTAATTTATCCATATTATCAAAAAATGACAACAATATTTAAATAATTTTGCAATTGTTTTTGCTATATTTTCTGCAATAGTAGATTGGCATTTTTATATGTACAATTAATTCTGTTGTAGCATGCAAGAAAGAATTTAGCTTTTTAAATCATTAAAAGTAAAAAAAAAATAACAAATGAAATAAAATGATAAAATAATCCTATTCAATTTATTTAATATTTCATTATTCATAGATAAAGATTATTTAACAAAATTACATTATAAAGTTAGGATAATCAAAAGTAACAACACAAATAATTCTTCTCAAAACTATTTTATTTCTTACTGGAAAAAAAAAAACATGTTCTGGACAAAATAATGACTGGGTTGTTCATTCAACTCACATCTGATAAAACCTAAAACAAAACAAAATCTAACAAATGATTCATACAAATATAACAATGGGTAATCAAATGACAAAATGGAAAGAACTCCAAAGTAATGTTTCCAATCCTGAAGGAATTTTTTCACACTAATAATGGTTTTATCATTGGTACACAGATTTGTATATCAAATCCTTTATCTATCTATCTATCTATCTATCTATCTATCTAAAGAGTGCAATAGGTAAATTATTGCCATTTTATATATATATTTTCACACAGGCACATTGTTTGTTTTTGATTTTGTCAACTGCCCAGTATATAGTAGGGTCAGTTGGGCCCCATCTATGAGAAAAAGAGCACCATGATGCAATTCACTTCTACAGAAATTTGGAAACAGCATACTGTACTGCTTGGCATTTGTACCCGGAAGCTCCAATACAAATATTTCAGAGTGTCTGGGTGTCAATCTGAGGACAGTGCAGAGAATTCAGAAAGAGTTGGATGAGTCTAATGGTGATTATAAAAGTACAACAACTTGGAAAACTCACTCTGATTGTTCTGATAAGAAAAGAACTGCCATATTTGTTGGTAGAGGGATCCTATATCAATTGACTTTGAGAAGGTAGTGCTGCCGTAGGTCAAGAAGGTGGCTGCTGGAAGACCCTGTGTCTGGCAAAGGGACTCTGCACCATGCCACACAAGCAGGAGAACCCAGTCTTGCTTGTCAGACAATTTCTGTGACCACATCACCCCTCTCCCTAGACTGCAACCCTCTTGATTATGTGTGAGGTACAGTTGAGCTAAGAACCAACAAAACTCCTTGTAACACTAAAGATGAACTGAAGGCAAGGATTATGGCAGCATTAACCAACTTAAACAAGAGGACTGTCCAGAAGAGTTGCAAAAGGTTCTGAAGTCATCAAGAGGCTGTGATTGAAGCCAACAGTGATTTTATTGAATAAATTTACTCTTTAGTATTTCAAGATATTTTTGGGTAATTTTTGCTATATATATATCTGTTAAAATGTTATGTCAGTGATATTTTCATTTTGCATATTTTAGACCACAATCTACCCATCACACCCTGTATATAGGGTGGATTTAGGCAGTAATTTTTCATTTATGTATGTTTGATTTATAATGATTTTTTTATTTACTTTTTCAATATTTCTCATTTTTATTTTTAAATTTCTGGCTGGTATTTGTAAATATATATAATACATTATAAATAAATTTTACAAATCAATCTACCATGTGGCCCAAAACAAACTTAAAACAGAAAAGAGTGACAGAGCCAGGATATTATTTCCTATATAAATAAGTGTCTCTTCTGGTTGGCCACTACTATAAATTTCATGCATGCTGTACCACATAATTCACAGGTACTTGACATTATTTCCTGGTTCTATATACCCACCATGATGAACAAAACACAAAATCTCAGGTAGTTAGCATATTGACCAAATTCACTCTGGTGGACACAGAAATGCCTAATAAAGTTGCAATCTGAAAGCATTTTCTGACCAACAAAAAATAATGTAGCAAACAATGTCATCCGTCTTATAGTAGTGATTGGCCAGAAAAGACACCTATTTATATAAGGAATAGTACACACACACACACACACACACATATATGTTTGCATCTACCACTCGTCCCTTCAGCCCCTTAACCTCCAGCCTCTTCCTCTTTGGGTTGTGGCACCCACTCGGTCTGAACCGAACTCAAGGGTAGCTGGCCACACGCTCCCTGAGTACCCGTAGTTTGTTTGACCAGTCACTGGCCAAGTTCCGCCTGCTGTCCACGCTGTGTTAGTTTTTAGAACCAGTAAACGGGGTGTTGTTCATACGTTCACGGTCGGTTGGGGATGTAGGCACGGCTGTGAGGGTGGGCGGCAGGAAAATTAGAATGTGGCAAACAAGGAAATAATATCTGCAGAAGCTGAACAACAATGGGTAAAATATTGATATCTTTTATATAAGAAAACAACAACAACAACAGTAGAAAGAGTTTACAGAAAGGATAGAAAAGCAATTAACATAAGAACAGAAGACCACTCCTCTACCACTTATACCAACAGAGAGAGGTGTGTGTGTGATTAACTCGTTCCAAATCAACTTGGGAGGATATGTGACTTGTAATTCTAGCCCTACGTGGAAGTGTAGCTTTTCAGTTGGTTGTCATAAGTGACAAACGTTAAGTTTCAGTGACTTTTCAATGCGACTGCTACAACGACGATGATATTTCTTGAGGTCCTTATCTCTGACTCGCCACTGGACTGACTCACTGCAACGATAGTCTCTCTCTTTCAACATCACTCTCGTCTAACGCCCAAGTCTCCCCAACTCAGCAAAACTCGTGCTTATATAGCAAACCGAAGGTTATAAGCCAGGTTGTTCATGCACTTAACATGAGTGTCGCCATAAGCAAAGTTTAAATTCAGATTTATTTCAAATCTCTTAGTGGATAAAATTAATTAGTTCAATGTTCATTTCAATTGTCTTTTCGATGACCAAATTCAGCAGATACAACTTATGTTTAGATCAGATTTTGCTAGCGGTAAACATACACTGATTTTACCTCCCTGGTCCAATTTACTTCAATATGTTTTTATCAAAAATATTATTTTTATCTATTTTTTTTTTTTTTTTTTTTTTTTTTTAATGACCCAAATTAAACATCGCCTCTTGCCCTTTTGCATTTGTTTATAAACAAGTCCTCGCCAACCCGATTTGAAATTTATTCTTTATCCATCAGCTGTCTCTAGTCTCATATTTCATTGTTCCAGATTCTTTCCTATTAATAGCGCTGACACAGTTTGTAACTTTCACAGAAGATTGTGTTTTCCATTGTCAATGAATAAACATTATATTTGCGTGTGTGCATTCATGTGCGTCAACCTCTCTCTGTTACATGCATACCATGCCTTCCATTTATAATATACTGTTGCACATGTTCCAACTGCTGTGAGTACATGTTCGTAGTGATGGTTTGGCCCATTGGTAGCAGCTCATAGTGCACCACTTGTCAACTAGACCACCAGATACAGAGTATGATCTTAAGATGGTCTTGTAGTGCGAGGCACAGAATCCTGTGGTTAAAACCAATTGTCTGGCACAATTAGGAGTGTTATACGGGACCCACTAGAGCTAGGATAAGTGTATTAAAAAAGAAAATGATTATATTAAAATATAAATATGCGTTATATATAATAAATCCATTTTTTCAACATTAGGTTACAGATTTAATGGTGTGTCTGTATATAAAGCCACATCACAAAATATAATTTAGTTTTTGCTATTTTTATTGGAACAAAACTGCTCCTCCCCATCCCCCAAAAATATACATATCTTTTAATTTGTACTTATATATATATATATATATATATATATATATATATGCAGACATACATACATATGTATATTCAGAGTATAGGGGCAGCAGATCATTATTCAGATATATATTATTAAATACAACAGACAATGTATATCTATCATGTTTTATCATGAGCCTTTCTAAGCGTCATATAATGGCTTTAGTTTCAAGACAACATTTCTTTTTCTCTTGTGGTCATTACGAATTTACGACCTGTGTACTATTCTGCAACTGTTATCGTTGCATAGGAAACTTCTATGTAAACAAAACAGCATGTCATCTTTGATAGTGAACATCTCTGTTGTAATGTTGATATAACCACATTGACGGTGGTTCATGTGAGCCGAAAGCTTAGACCAATGATCAATATTGGTCTAATTAAGAAATATCCAAATGTTGGACAGTTTTGTCTTTATTTTCTTTTGAAACTAAAGCCATTATACAAAGCTTGGAAAGGTTCATGATAAATAAAAACATAAAAATGTCTTAAAATATATATATATATATATATATATATATATATATATATATATATACACACACACACAATATATCTGTAAAATGGCAATATGAATAAAGGTAAAAGAAAAATTTTATTTCATCAATGCATTTCGTCTTCTGATGGACTTTATCAAGGCAAATGTAAAGATTTTATTTTGCAATATGTATTTATAAACAAAAGTGAAAAATATTGTTAGGTTTTCAAAATTTTTTAAATTTAAGAATGCTCAAAAATATTCTTGAGGCTAACTGCAAGAAAGGAACTTTGAAGTTTGATAATCATTTTGTAAATTATTTTAAATTCTTTATTTTTAGATTCTTTATTTTTAGATTCTTTATTTTTAGATTCTTTATTTTTAGATTCTTTATTTTTAGATTCTTTATTTTTAGATTCTTTATTTTTAGATTCTTTATTTTTAGATTCTTTATTTTTAGATTCTTTATTTTTAGATTCTTTATTTTTAGATTCTTTATTTTTAGATTCTTTATTTTTCAAAATAAAATTTAATATAAGGAAATAAATTTTACTTCTGTATAAAAAAACAATGTCATTATATATTTAAAATATCAGTGTACTTTTTCTTTGGAATTAATTCTAATGCCATTCTTCTTGTTTCAGGCTGATGATGAATTGCGACATCAAGCAGATCATCTAAGACGTATTCAGAAACAAAGGCTGAAAGAAGAAAGACGTAAAATGAGACATGGTAATTTCATTATCACTTTGAATCATTACGATTTCCAATTTATTTTTCTGTGTACTGTATCTATGATAGTATTCATTAATATATATCAGTTCATCAATTACTATGTAGTCTAATAATGAAAAGGAACATTTATATTGCATAACAAAAAAGATTATATTTTTGCAGAATTCCTGTCTTTGTTAATGCACTAAATCTAATGCTTGTTCAGAGATTGCAAAGATTAAATATTAAATAGTGAAAATTTAAGATGAAAATTCACATAGACTGAATATTGAACAGTGAAAATTACTTTTGTAAAGTTTGCTGATAACTGTCCAGTGATTTTTTATTTCTCTTCTCTCTCTCTCTATATATATATATATATATATATATATATATATATATATATATATATATAAGAGAGAGAGAGAGATTATACTTGTTCCAAAAAAAGAGAAGCTGCAAACGTTTTTGGTTATAATGTGGATTTTTTTTTTATATATATTATACTGTATTTTTCATATTTTTTGCTACACACATTTCAGGTCTTGTGACCTTCATATTATTTAAAGGAATTAATTTTTTCTTATGTTTCCTTATGTTTAACCATTGTCTTTTGCATGCCATAGTAATCCAAATTATTCTTGAAATGGCAGAAAAATCTTCCCTTGTTTAAGGGGTAATAAAATAATTAGGATTGATCAGAGAAAGGGGAAGAAATGAGGTCTTTGTTCTTAACTTTTTATGTCCTCTGTATCTTTTTAAACCATTCTCCATTGTTGTGTATTGCATGTGTTTTTGTGTGTGTGTGTGTGTGTATATATATATATATATATATATATATATATATATATATATATTCTCCATACATATATATTGTTTTACTACAAGGAAATAGTATATATACATACACATTTTGCATGGCATGTACGGTTTGTGTGTATGTGGTCCATCTAGTGTGTTTGTTTTTGCCAGTATGTGTGCATGTATTTGTTCTCCATACATATATACTATATATTATATTATTATAAAGAAATCTATACCTTTGTCCTTAAACCTGTTCAGCAGATATTGCCAAATTTCTTTTGACTGATTTCCTTTCCATGAGTGAGTAGTTGTTCATTTGATCTGTAACTGCATATACTATTCCAATTTCTGAATTGAGAAAACTTGCTAAGTTACTCTAAGTGTGATTCTATTAACACTTCAGCATTTTCTTCAACCCATTCATTAAAACCAAGTTTTTTTTTCCTATTGTTGTGCAATGATTACTACCCTTGTCCAATCTGTCAGAACTTCCTCTGATTGCTAGATTACATTCATGTGTGCCACCCATATATGTCAGTAGCTCTTGAGTGGCTCTCCTTGTAGTAGGCAAGGTATGGTAGAGGTTGAAGGGAATGCTTGAAAAGAAAGTGCTTGAAACTACATTAAAGTGGAAAAATCTGACAACTAATGAAGTATACTAACAAATTGAACCTGTCAAGCTTAGATCATCATTAGAAGATAATTTCTACTCTGGTTGACTGTTACTGAGTAATGAGTTCAATCCTTACTGGTGGCCTCATATTTATGGTTTGTACCAAACTAAGGTAAGCTTATTAAAAAACAACATAGGAATCATTCAATAATGTAATAAGAGGCTATACGGGGAATACAATTGTAGAAAAGCAACTAACCATGAATGATGGATATCGGACAAATTATAGAGACTAAAAGATGAGAGGAAAACAATCAAGTCGAAAAGAGATCAAGCAAATTTACCAAGAGAGTCAAATGCATAGGAAAAATATGTCATGATCTGGACAGTGAAGAAAAGGGACAAAGAACACTGGTAAGAAGAGTAAATTAGGTTAAGCAACATATCAACCTTTTATTCAATGCCAGATATAAGTCTTATATATGTCATAAATCACAACAAAGTAATAAAAAAGTAGACAAATGTCTGGTTTACACTTGATTCAAAAGGTAGATATTGGCCTAATTTACACTCAAATCTGCAAATGTATAGAAGATGACTGCTTATTTACTAAGCTTGGCTTAATTTGGCATAAGACTACAAGTATTAGACAGCTAGTGCTCTTGAAAATGAGATGGTTCTGGGATGCAAGGTGAGCCTTCAAAACATGATCTACACAGAGGAATGAAAGAGAGTTAACTCTAAAACTAAAAATTGTGGAACACTTTGTCCACTATAGATTGCAGATACTGATACATGCAATCACATTTTTTTCTTAACAGCTGCAGGAAGCACCCAACCTTCCCCTTTAAGAAAATCCTTAAATGCATGCTGAAGTTATGAATATTCATAAACCAATAGTATATGGATTACACTCACACATGTCCACTTTTTGCATTGCAAATGGCCACTGGTATGTGAAGCATACAAAGTATTATGCTTGCTTAACTTTAGGTAATGATCTAGTAATGATTTGCAAGCCAATCTTGCTAACCATTTTGCTCCAGTAAATGTTTTGTTCTGTTCTGTTCATGTTGACAGTTTTGTGATTGTTATTTTCTTTCTAGTTGAACTGTATCAGAACAGTCCGCACTACTTTTTGAATCATGGTCAAGACATGGAGGTTGAAAGTAATCTAAGGAAAGACGTTGTAGATGACTGCTACCCAGAAGAGTCCAGAAGAGGGTCAAGACGAAGGTCAGGATTTTTTTTTTTCTTTCTAGTTTTGTATTTTTGAATGAAGACACAAAAGTTTTGGTCACATTAATATTTAGTCAATTAATCACCAAGTAAAGTTTTAATTCAATATCAGAACATCATATTGTGCAATATAAGTTGGTTCTCAGATTAGATTAAAAATTTCAAATAAAAATCATATTGTTTCTATGGAAATTTTATATGTAGACCTTGTTATTTATATCTAATGAATCTTTTAGATTGTTCTCCTTTTCATTATTGCTATTTATTTTACATAAAAGTTGGATCACTCTCAGGTTTCTGTCCAATGTCAAGTCTATTATTGGCCATTTAGCTAGCTTGCATTGCAGAACATTATAGACAGGGGGTGAATTTTTCTGCTTTATCATCCCTTATTCCTTTTTTACCTTTTTTTATGGCTTTTAATTTTTTGAAGACATTTTGATTACTGTTATTTTACACTGTATTTTGTGTAGGTTTTCAGATATTCAATCAGTATCAGTTGTTTTACATGCTCACACACACACACTGGGACATAATCAAGAAAAAACTCTGGCCCATGTGTTGGGTTGCCAGATTAGCCGAGAAATATTGAATTGGGTTATATTTGAAAGCTTAGTACTACTAAATTTTGCATAATTGACTATTTTTATTTGTAATCAGTTTTTATTAGTAGTCAGTTTTAGAGAGGATTAGAAATAAAATTGTATATCAGGACGACATTAGTATTGGTGTGTGCAGCAAAGAAGAGCTCAAAAGTAAAATGGAGCAAGTTTTGAGAAAATTAAATCACGATAAATGCGAGTTTAATTGTGAAAAAATGTTGTACCTAGGATATCAAATATTCAAAGATGGTATATTGCCAAATGATAAACTCATTAATAAGATATCAGAGATAGCTGCACCCAGAAATAAAAGAGTTATTTAACCAATTTCTATAACAGATATCTTCCATGACATAGTGACCTGGTGGAAACATTGAACAAAATAAAGAAGAATACTGAGTTTCAATGGACAGACAGGAGGTTGCTTTTGAGAAATTAAAAAAGGCACTCATAAATAAACCAGTTGTTAAAATTTTCAACCCAGCAAAAGAATGTTAATTATTGATGCCAGTGACTGTGCTATAGCCACAATATTGTCACAGGAGGATCACCCTGCAATGTACATATCCAGAAAACTAACATCGGTGGAACCAAATTATTTGAATGTTGAAGAGATATTTGCAATTGGGTGAAGCACAGAAAGAGTAAGAAATATTTTGCTAAGAAGGAAATTTCTGTTAGAATCTGATCAAAAGCCTTTGGAATTAATATTCAACCTCAGAAAATTGTTGCCAAAAGTCATATCTGCTAGGATATTAAGATGGGTGATTAAGCTTAAGGTATTTGATTTTGACATTGTATATATTAAAGGAAATGCTATTCTGCATATGAATGCATTATCTCAGTTAAATTTTGAGAGTAAAAATGTTTAAGCAAGTGAAAATTGTGAGGATAGGATTTTGCACTTGATAGAAACAGATGTATTACCCTTAAATCAGTTTAGGTTGGGAACTAGGCGGCTCCTGTGTTGAATAGAATTATGGATAGAATAAAGAGAAAAAATACATGGAGTAATTTTTCTATGGCTGAGAGGCTGTATAAAGAGTCAAGACACAAATTAACAATAGAAAAAGGAATTATATGTAATGGAGATATCATAGTACCTCCACAGTCACAGAATTAATTAAAACCATGCATGATGATATACATGAAGGTATATTGGCTATGCAAATGAGGTTGAAGTTGCAAGCATGGTAGCCAGGCTATTTGAGAGATATGGAAGAGTGTTAAAAAATGCCCAAAGTGGGTAGAAATAAAGAAATTTAGGCAAACTAAAATTCACTCTTGGCCAAAGGAAATGAGGCTGTGGACATGAGTACATATGGTTCATGCCGACATTAAAGTTAAAGAACTATTTTTCATATTAGTTGACTTGTATTCAGTTTGGCCAGAAGTTATTAAAGTCATGGCTAGAAAAGCCACTACTGTGAAGTGGATGTTGAGGATAGTGTTTTCAAGAAATGGAGTTCCAAAAACCTTGGTCTCTGACAATGCACCAGAGTTTTGTGAAGAAAGTTGATGTTAATTTGACAGGGTCCGTCAGTGAATAAACAATAATTTTATGTATGAAAGATTTAATCACATATGCTTACCAGGCATTACACAAATAAGTAGAATCAAAGGAAACAAATGTGGCCATTTAAATAAATTTATAGTTTTTAATATTTTCGAAAACTAATGACAATGTGGATTCCTTAAGCTCTATAAAAAAAGATTCCTTTTTAAAAACATCTTGAATCTTGAAAAAAAATTATCCTAAGTTTATCTTTTCTGTTTTTTTCTTTTTGTTCAGACGGTACAAAAGGCGAGAGAAACACGATTTGAGTTCACAAGAAGACAGCAGTTTGGTAAGTGATTCAAACCATTTTGGAGTGGTAACACCTGTTAGGGTCCCAGCTATGGAAAAATAGTGAACCCCCAAACAAAAATCAAAACACCAGGAAAGTATAAAAATAGATTCTTATAGTAAAATACTAACAATACATTTTTGTAGTGAAATTACCAGCAATACATTCGTATAAAAAAAAATTATCAATACATTTTTATAATAAAATGACCAGCAATACGTTTTATAATAAAATGACCAACAAAGCATTGTTATAGCAAAATGACAGTCAATATAAAACCTAAAAAAGTATAAGAATACATTTTTATAAAACAATTAACAATACATTTTTGTAATGAAATTACTAGCAATGTGTTAAAAAAATTGCCAACAAAACTTTTTATCTACAAACTATATATCTAAAAAAACATGTTTACTCAGAAAGTATAAAATTATGTACAAAATATCAGTAGTTGATACCATAATATTATTGCATACAAAATATTTAGATTTTGGCATTAAATAACCCAAAGAGGGTGATATGCTGCTAAACAAAATCAACGAAGTCAAATCATTTCCACTCTATCAAATTGATTCAATTTCTTTTCGTTATTCATTTGCCCACCTAGAACATTCTTGAAATATTCCACCTTTATTGTCTGTCAAATATCAATAACACCTTACATAAACTGTGAATCTCTTCAATCTGTGGCTCCTATTTAAGTTTTACTCATTCACTTCTTAAACTTAATTGGGCACTTGTGCACCTATTAAATTCAGTTATAGAAAGAAAAAGTGTACACACATACACACACAAAATTTAATGTATATAGTTTGTGCGTTTTTTCAAGATGATGTGATCAATAATCATCTTCCATATTTACAAATGAGTTTGTTTTATATTCTTTAGAACTGTTCATGTTATGGAAGAAAACTCATTTTTAAAGTATTAAGCTAAACTTTGAAACGATCATTCAATAGTAGTAAAGATTTTACACAATTATTATATCTTAATTCGATAAATTTTATTTGCTATGACTTATTTACCTTCAGTTGATATCCATTTCCCTTGTACTGAGTGAACCTGTGCTTTTGAATATCAATGTCATGGCCTGCATTGTGGGTGAGATAGTTATTAATTTCTGCAAACAATCAGGATTCAAGACAGGATTTTGAATGTCAATTTTTCTCTAAGCTGGCCAGCCCTCTGCACTTGGAAGATTGGTATGACACAATCTTCTTATTTGTATTTGGTCTTGTGCCATACTAAGTTTAGTAAATATGAATAAAGGAAGTTGCCTTGGTCAGGATGGTTTTATCAGAAGAGATTGTTTGCAATTTTGGTACAAGTCAAATACTGTGGTCCATGCTGAAATGTGATATAACAGAAATATGTACTGAATTCCACAGCATCCACTTACAGTAACAGAAATGCAAGTTTAATTTTAGAAGAAAACATTTGTTATTGGGTGATGCAGTCTCTTAATTAAGATGCAATAATGTCACTGTTTGCTTCAAGGACTAAAAATTTTCAAAAATAAGATAAAGATGAGATATAAATTAAAGATGACTTATTACTTTTTCAATTCAATTTTTCAGCAACAATGAAAAAATAAACTACTATATCTGCTATGGGTTTTGGGGGTGTTTCCTATTACTATGAATAGCATGTTTTTGTAATATCTCACACATTTCAGCACAGATCAAGATACTTGACTTGTACCATTATTTTTTTTTCTTATTGTAGAATGATGCATATGATGATGGTGAGGAGACATGGGCAAATCAGCCTGAAACTCTACAAAAAACACGAGAAAAGATGCACAAACTATTGGACGATGCTTTCCAGCTGATAGCAAAGCATGAAAGGTAATAAAAATATGCTTTTAAGAACTTTTGTTTTTAGGTACTAAACCATTTGCATTTATACCTAAATATTAACATTTGCATAAGTAACTGTCTCTCAAGTTTACACACACACACACATATATATATATATATATATATATATATATATATATATATATACCAACAAATATAAAAAAAGAAAATTTTATACCTTAAACACAAGATACATAAATAATATATAAAACGAGAAAATGCTCAATACTTAGAATGATGTTCAAATGGCCACTCTATTGGAGGGGGGGTGTAAAGGTAATATTAGCCATTTCTTTTGGTGCAAACATTCAGGATTCATTGATCGTGCAGCCAGTGCTACTTTCAGTTGAAATTTATAGAATCCTTCTATTAAAACAATTGGCTTTGGATGGTATAAGGCTACATTAAAACATCATCTGTTATTCTTAACTAATTACACATGTAAAAATTGATTAGGCTTAATGTTTAACTTACCTGACGAGATGAAGAAATGCTTTAAGCTTGAGAGATTGATCATTGGTATCTTAAAAAAAATAATTGTGAATTTCACAGGAATATTCTGTTTACTAGAAAATTACATATATCTATTTTCTATGATAATCCTAAAGTACTTATATGATTGCTAATGTAAATAATATATACAGTAAAAGGGTATGCCATATTTTTCTGTTGAAGAGGAAATTTTTTTTGTCAATAATAGTTTGTTATTTTCTCTGTATTTTGTTAGAAAAAAGATATCACCTGCCATAACATCTGTGAATTCTGGTTATACCCGAAGAAGTTCCATTGTAAAGAGAAGAACTCGTCGGCAAAGAACCAATCTCTTGGAAACACCTCCAGTTTCTTGTTACAGGTTTGTTAGATTTATGTTTTCATGTTAATTGATTATCTGTTAGTATGTTTGCTTCATGAGAGATATAAAAAAAAATCAAAGTTATCTCCCTTGTATATAAGCTTTTTTTTGAAAATCCTAATGTTGTTTTTTTCAGTGATGCAATTCGATTTTAATAACAAACAATTGGAAATAAATAAAAATTAACAAATTTCTTTATTATTAATGATCCTTGTTGGAATTGTTGTAAGACCAAGATAAAACACAGGAAAAATAGCAAAAGTTGACACAGTTAAGTGTCATATGTGATACACACTTGGAAAATCATGTCTCTTTTGATTTGTGACTGACTAGGCAGAAGTTTTTCCTGCAGTATGTGGCCGTTTCTTTCTGTGGTAGACTTGTTGCCAACCATTTTGATCTTACCAGAGAGATGAGGAAGTAGTGGGACATGAAGGTGGCAATTGTGCCAACCATTACTGGAGCAATGGGAACAGTCTTGAATATCTAGAAAAAAGTGTGGAGGAAGTGGAAACAGGGTAGAAGTTGAGACCATCCAGACAACAGCATTACTGAATACTAAGAAGAGTGCTGAAGGTATTGAGGAGACTTGTTGTCACTTAATCTCCAGTCTAAACCACCAATTACTGTTGGTGTACACATTTAATAATTGAAATGTGAATTTTCATACAAACAATATCTGATGACTTCTACTGAAGATCAAGTGACATCAATATTCCAGCACTCTCACCAGGATTCATTCAGACTTCAATAATGCTTTTGTCTGGAATTTTCAATCCTCTCAGTCCTTTTGCAATGATCTTCAGGGTTATTATCATTATTTATACTCATTTAGTTTTCACACTAGTCATATCTGGTGACTCTTACCAGAGATCAAGTTATAGTCAGTATCCCTCAATTCTCTTGCACTCTTCCAAAATTATTATTATTATTAAATTTATTCGTAAGTTCATACCAAAGATATCTGGTAGTTGTTACTGGAGATCAGGCAGCAACAAGTCTGCAGATCTCTAGCATCTTTCACAGTACTTTACTATTATTATTATTATTTGTATCTTGACACCAATATTATTATTTGTAAGAATTTTTACACTTGGAGGCAGTTACATTCACTTCATACTCATTCACTTGGAAAGGCATGAATTCACCCATCAAGCTATTTGTAAAAAATTAGGACAGTCTAGGCACTTTAGATTTGGTAGAGTAACCAATCTAGGAGAAGGATAAGCCTAAATTCAGAACTGTGAAGAAGGCAATGAGAAACTATTCTACAAATATACTGAAGAAAAAGAAGTAGTGGAGAACCATGATTACCTACATTCTGATATAACATGGCATTAAAAAATAAGTTTTTATTGGCTTTCAGTAAAGTTTACTATTCTATGGCATATAAAATCTCCATTTCAGAAGGGAATATTAACATTTTCATTGCTGCATTGGTGCCTGGCTGTGCTGGCTTGTTTTGGGAAAAATAGCAAATTGCAATTTATTGGGAATAAATGACTATAATAACAATGACAATGTTTATTGTTTTAAAAACCAATTTCAGTTTTCAAGAATAAAGAAAATGTGGCAAACATGGACCTTCGTGCCCGCAATAAGAAAGTGTCAAAATTTTTCCCATGTCACCACTTTTTTTTTAACTACTTTCACTCTTGGACAATGTTTATTGTTCTAAAAAGCAATAATTAGAATTGGAATAAAACCTAAACATGTGATGAAAGTGAATTTATACATTTTCTTTTTCTTGAGAATTTACAACAAAAATATTAAACACTATTTATTTATTAGATCGTTTATTTACAAGAATAATTTTTGTAACAATATTTAACATGCTATATGGACGAAAAGGGTCAAAGAAAACAATTTTATTTTTTTTTTGTCAGAAAGGGATTCATTTTCCCAGGATATTGAGAACAGATGTATGAATTTTGTTGGAAAAAAATACAGCATGCTATTGTTGCTGCCTGTTGAGAGACAGTGGAAAGGTGCAGGAGTTAGGGGCCAGAGGTTAAAGTCGTCTGTTGAAAGGTGGGAAAATTGTCAGCCAAAATTTCCCTGAGAAAAAATTATAATTGTGAAAACAGAATGAGCAATTGTGAAGGCAGGTGAAGACATCAGGAAGGCTGATGTCATATAATACCTCCTTCCAAAGGAGGGGGAATCTTTCAAAATTGGATGTGTGAAACAGAGAACGAAAGAAAGAGACTGGTTGAATTTTAGGATATTTGCATAAAACCTCCTTATGCGCCTTACCCATCCCATTTGGAAGTGACACCCATAAATACAAGTGCCCACAGGGGCTAAAGTAGTTGGAGTTAGTTGAAGTTGCGGCCCGGAGTTGCAGAAGCTGTGTCAGGGAGTTAAGAGATTTTTTTTGCCATAACACTGTTTTGCCAACCTAATAATAATAATAATAATAATAATAATCTGCTGAAGAAGAAAAACTCTGATGATAACATTGTGCCATCCTTGAAAATACAAACAACAGTACTTGAAGATAAATCCAGTTGTCAAGTCTGGCCATCCTTAGAGAAGTTAGCTGAAATTTTCATTCCGTCACCAAATATTAGAAACGGGTTGGGAAAAGAAGAAGAAGCAAAAAAAGTAATGTAAATATTTTTTTTATTTTGATATAAATATCATCTAGTGATTCAGGTGTTGTCTATTTTATTTTCAATTTTGTGTGTGCATATTCAACTCCTTGGTTTAGCTTGGTTGAGATACCCCAGTGATAATTCAGCTCGACCCTCTTAAGATTAAAAATGTGGGTAAGAGAGGTCATAGTTGAAGAGGTCAACTTAAAGACCAGCTGCTGTGTCAAACGCCACCAATGAGTGTGAGCTGATGGCTTGTTCTCTGATACCAGGATTGATCCTGACCAAAGATAGCAGGCTGTGCCCCTGGCTACGCCACCATATATTTACAACATTCTAAATCCAAGTACAGTTAGAACTAATGCAATGCAATATTTATCATTTACCAATTTATAAAGAAATAAATATGAAAACTATTTTTTATTCATAAATTTATAAATATTTACTAAATTATTAAAATATGTGAAACAACTATAAGCAAATCCTTATTTACCATTTTATAAAGTTTGAATCAATTGACAATTAGCCAATGTTTTGCCAACCACTCCAATAAGTAATATAATAAATAGTGTAAATAAACAATCTAGTAAATAAATATTTTTTTATTATTTTTGTTGTAAATTCTCATGAACAAAGAAATTGTATAAATTCACTTTCATATGTTTAGGTTTTATTACAGTTTTAATCATCACTTTTTAAAACCATAAACATTACCAAAGAGTAATGGTAGTTAAAAAAAGCAATGTCATAGGGAAAACCGTCTTTTTTGACACATTGTGTTATTGTGGACACAAAGGTCCATGTTTGTCACATTTTTTTTATTCTTGAGAACTGACAACAAAGATATTAATCACTATTTATTTATTAGATTTCTTATTTGCAAGATTATAAAAATATGCAAACCAACTATTAAGAAATATTTATTATTTACCATTTTATAAAGAAATAAATATAAAGATAATTTGTTTTATTCATAAATTTATAAAAAAAAAGTCTGTGAACAAAAACATTTAAATAATGATGGATAACTGTAATTATAAATTCTAAAAAATGTATTACCTAAGCATGTTTTATTTGCTCTTGCCACATAAATTCACGAAAATAGGTTGAGAGCATCTCCTCCTCTTATATATTTACTTATATCTATCTTACATATTTATAAGTCTACCATTCATCTATGCCTTGAATATTGCTGCCACATATGTTCTGATGCCACATATTTAGAAATTCTTGATAAAATCCAAGGAATTTGCAATGTAATTGGCCCTGACCTGGCATGTCAGCTTCAGTCACTTTTCCATCACCATAATGTAGCTTCCTTATGCCTTTTCTATAAATACTTTCATGGTAATTGTTTTGAGGAACTTTTCTCTATTACACCTAAACTCTATGAATTTAATCAGTCCTAAATTGGCAGCAAGATCTCATCATTTTACAATTGAAATGGCTGCTAGATGTAACTGTAAGTTCTATACTAACATGTTCTTTTCTCGCACTTCTTGCTTGTGGAACTCTCTTTCAGCTTCTTGCTTTCCAGTCAAGTTTGATCTTCAAAAATTAAAATGCAATGTCAATTGTTATCTTCTGTTTTCTTAATTCCTGTTATTTTAATGTTATCACTCCTTAAATATGTTTTTCCTTTTCTTATATTCTTTCACACTCAGTAAACCCCTGCATCTTAGTGACTTTATTGCCTTGTTTGGACGAAAGGGTTAAAAAAATATTTTGATCATTTTGTAAATTTTTATAATTTTTTCAATAAAAGATTCTTTATGAAATGGTAAATAATAAATCCTTATAAAAGGTAAATCATAAATATTGCATTGTATTTGGTTTACTGTTTTCATAATCTTGTTATACAGTAATAGCAGTATTTACATTATTTGGACTATTGTCCTCATCTTTGTCGCCATATTTATTTTAATGTTTCGGCCGTTGTATGCTCTGGCCTTCTTCAGGTGATTGGAATGTTGAACTGAACCCTTTATTTTGCTCACTGGGGTAGATTGTTCTAGTTCCACATGCCATGTTTAATGGATGTCAGTTAATAGTTATCTCCTGTTAATTTCCTTCTGAAAGTTCTCCACTGCCTTAACTGGGTATTGATCTCACACTTTTTGAGTCCTGTCACTGGATCTAACTAATGCCTTTATCCACTGTGCCATGTGTCCTTGACAGGACCAAAAGAGAGTGAGTTCAATACCCAGTTAAGGCAGTGGAGAACTTTCAGAGGGAAATTAACAGGAGATAACTGACATCCATTAAACATGGCACGTGGAACAAGAACAGTCTACTCCAGTGAGTGAAATAAACGGTTCAGTTCGACATTCCAACCACCTGAAGAAGGCCGGAGCATACAACGGCCGAAACATTGTAATAAATATGGCAACAAAGATGAGGACAATAGTTTGAATAATGTAACTAATGTACATAATACCTCATCTCAGAAATATAGACAGATAGTAATAGCAGTGTTAAGAGAATAATCATCCTTTTGACACACTGTTTTTTTTGCAGGCGTGAAGGTTAAACATTGTCAAAAAGTGTTAGGTTAGTTATAACAACTGGTAGTTTATGATATCTAGATAAATATTAACCCAGTTTCACATATTTACATGCTATCAAATATGATGAGTGAAAGCAAATCTCCACAAAATTTCCAGCAAATATTCAAAATTATTTCTCCAATGGGTCTAGTGCTTTTGATCTTATTTGAAAGGGTATACATGCATCGAACTATCCATAAATTAACAATGAAAACCTCTTTTTGCAGAAAATCCTCCCCATCAGATTCAGCTCCTGAAGAAAAACTGGGTAAGTTTTCATTTGTCAAATGTTCCCTATCTTGAATTTACATCTATGTGACTGATTGCAAGAGAAAATGACTTTTGGAGTTTGAATTTTTGAGTTTTCATACTCATGAATAACTTTATTTTTTCTTTTTCTTCATTTTTTTGTTTTTTTAATAATAATAATAAGCCACATTTAATTCAGTGGAACATCAAATTTTGTAGTCATTGTCATTTGAGCCAAATGAATAACTGCTATTACTTCCTAACAAAAGTTTTTTGTTTTTTTACTTCTTCTTGATATGAGATAACAATATATATTTTTTATTTATTTCTTTTTAAAAATCTTCATTTATTATTGATGTATATGGAATAACCTGTTACTCCCATGAGTGACTACACTATAGGTAATAACTACCTATAAATATCTGTAAGTCAACGGACTACAGAGACTAACTGGGATCTGTTCCAGCTAGACTGTCGAACTCTCTGCCTCTGAGCAGAGAGGAACCTGGACGCGAGGCTCTGTCGAAGGGCAGAGTCTTGTTCAGGGAGGTTGACCAACCTGATCCCGTTTATGTGGGTTCTATGGGAATTTTTTGGCCGAGCCTACGATCTTGGAAGACCCACGTTAAACCCGGCCTTGTGCCACATCTATCCTCGTGGTGGGGCTAGTAAATACTAACTAGCTGGGATCTGTTGAGTACAACTCAGACTTATGAGAGAACTACCGAACTTCCAATAGTAGCACTCACTACTGGATTGACTTGTGACGACTTTGTGTATAACTGTTACCTTTATTATTATTGTACTGTTTTTTTTTTTTACAATAAACCTTTACTTATTTTATCCACCTTGTTTTTCAAATATATATTCCTATTAGCACGGAATATAACAATTATCAGTTCATAAATTTGATTACATTCTGCGTCATGTAAATAACTAAATAAAAGATGACACTCATTTGATGCAGTTTAAACTTACAATCAAAATGGCTGCAGTACATCACTATTGTAGCCCTGTGACAGATTAAGCTAAGCTTAGTAAATACCTACAGTCAATGTAGCTGAGACTATGAAAGTTCTTCTTGCAAAGGTGGAAATGGGTAACCTTGTTGTTGTTGTTGTTACTGTTGTGCAGGTTAATTCCTTCCCCACTTATGACAAATGTAAATCCAAGTGTCAAACAGAAGAGGATATTGAACATAAGTAAATAAATGTGTTACATATATACAAAAACTGGTTTCTATCTGTTGCTGCTGCTAAGGCGAGAGGAGAGAGAGAGAGAGTAGTGAGATTTGAAGCAAAGTTGACACTTTGTGGTGACTGCCATTTTTCTCTCAGTATGTCAGTGTTGACATCAAACATTTATATATTATTTGTTTTTTTGAGCAGGAGTGGCTCTGAATAGCAATAATATCAGAATAATTTTGTTTTGGTTAAAGCTGATTTATGCATGATTCCGATGAGCAGATAACATTTACACAGTCTTAGTTGGATTGTCATGTAGTCAACATCTGGTTTGTATAGAAAATGTAAGAGGCACAACAAGGCTTCTAGAAAATTGATCAGGTAAAAGCTGTATCAATTAATTAGTAATAAATATGTTTTGAAGTCTTTGAGAAATGTGACTTTTCTTCCTAATCTGGTTTGAATTGTTGGTGTATTGTCAGATTGTGACGTATCATTAGATTGTGGTATTTTTTGTACATCAAGAGAATGTGTATGCGGTTGATTTTCTTTTTCTTGTTTTAGTCTGTCAACAGCAACAGTGTCTGAGTTATTCTCTTTTTGTATTGTGAAATATTTGTCTGATCTGTGTAAGACTTTGTATGGACTCTGATATGCTGAAAGTGTTTTTATTAGGTGTGTATATGTATTTTGTTGAATTTCAAGTATGTGTGAATAGGTATAAATAAACTGAGGTTAAGCGCAGATACACATCCATGCATTTGAGCATACATATATACGCAACTGTCATTCTATTTCGGTGTCAAGACTGTAGCGTTTATTATATGTAGCAATGTTCTTTCAACAAGGTGCAGGTGGTGTTGACGTTTTTCAGATTGCCTGTCCGTGCCGTCAGATAAGCTCATATTTCCTCATACCTACATAGACATATGTAGACACATATCCACACTCTTTGGTCTGGGTCCACTATCTGCACCTAACCTCAGATTATTTATATGGATGTTTTTGTATAAACTAAAATGCATACACCTGTATGCATGTGTCTATGTATATGAGAGTGTCATCCCAAACAAACACAGAAGAAAAGTTTCCCCTCCACCACCACATACAAGTAATCAAACACAAATAAGCATAAGTAGATCCACTTTTTAAAAAAAATAAACAAGTTTGTCTGATGATCACAAAAACATGAAACCTAGGGTTACAAACTAATATCCATACAACTGAAAATATATATATATATATATATATATATATATATATAAAAGAAGTTGAAAATGTGCTTGGAGTCTTTCAGAATATTTATTTACAGTAACTTTACCAGTTTCACAGTTCTATGATTTTCAAAATTTAATTTGAGATGTAGAGATGTGTGGCTATGATATGATATGTCTTGCATATATATATAAGTGGACACTGAGGTCAACACCAAGTAGCCACACAATCTGTTTCATACTTGAATGCAATCTTCAGTCCACTGTCACCACTTGGTGCTGACCTCTGTGTCCGCTCTTATATTTACACATACTCTGTTCCTGATATTGAGCACTTTTATCCATAAATACTTTAAAACTATATTTTATCACACATACACGATATAATGGTTGACACCTCATTGTCAAGTATGACCATCACTAGATATCATTATCAGACCTAGTTGGGCTGTGAACAGATGTGGCTCTTTAAACCAGACAAATTTCTAAAACCTATGACACAAAGTTATCAGAACACAGTTTTTTGTCATCAAATTTAATTTCATGACTGTTTCCATGTCTTTTCATCCCACCTGCTGACTTGAAAACTTTTACACAAAATTGACATGATTTATGAGTACTTAATGCTATTTTGTAGATGGTTGGTTGTCTGGTACTGTAATGGGATTGGTTTATCTAAAAGGTAATTATCATAAGGAAAGCAATAACTAGACTTCATGGGCAACTTTGTGTCAGGGTATGTATAATATCTATGGCTACTAAAGTTGGATCATCATAACAAAATGGCATTGCTGATAGGGTACAACACAGCTTTAATATGTGAGAATAGTAAAAATATTGTTGCCCATGCAGATCAGTTAAGAGCTAGCCAAAATTATGAGGAAGTACAAAGTGAAGCAAGCTAGTTTGAATGACTATGTAGATGAATAAGAAAGCAGGACAGAGGAATCAATGGACAATCAAAGTTCTTCGAAAGACTTGGAGTATGAAACATGGGACACTGAATAAAAAAAAAAAATCTTGATCATAATGAGAAATACTTGTGAAACCAGTGAGATGGGGAGGGAATGTCAGAGAAGCTGTAGATCCATGCAGAGTGTGAAACCCAAAAGATTCAGATGTAATGGGATTGGATTAGCTAATAGGTAATTAGCATAAACAGAGCTTTAACTAGGGCTCATAAGTAACTTTGAGTCAGGGTACGTAGAATATCTATAGCTACTAAGTTGGATCATGATAACAGATACATTGACTTTGCATATGACTTAATTTTCCTACTTCAAAGCAAAGCCTTCCACAAACATCACAAGTGAGATCTTGTATGTGACGTGTGATTTTGTGTGTGAAAAGGTTTGGAAGTTCCAAATCAAGACCTTTTTGGACATTTCTTTTCAGCTTTTCTTTTGCTATCCAAAAATCTGTCAAGAACAATCTTTCCATCATGGACCTTCTTCTGTTAGATGTTACAATCATTTATATGGAACTCCATCATGGATAATTACCTGAGTTGGATGGAGGAACTACCGCTAAATATTTACATCTTTTATTGCACATACCTATACTATATCTCTATCTATAAAAGGCAGGATGTGTGTGTGTGCGCGTGTAACGAATGCACGGCTGCAATTTTCGACAGATTTGCACCAAAATTTACATGCACATGCTCCAAGTTAGTGGGAAGGCTAAGATCGACTTTGCATTTCCCAACTCCCATCGATAGTGGAAATAATCAATTTTTTTCATGCTTCTATGGTAGTTTTCATGTAGTTTGCGGCCATTTTCTACCGGCCAGAATGAGAGCCTATAGCTGGCTGCCACGGATAGGCAGGAAGATTCTATTGGCCAGCATGAGAGCCAACAGCTGACTGACACAAATGTTAACTAGCATGCAAAAAAAATCGATAGCTGCATTTGTCACAAGTGGGAAAAATTTAAATCTGCATGGCACTTTACTCCAATTGGCTCATTCACTTGCTTAAACTCAACGTTGATTCTGATTCCGCAGAACTGGGTTGGGGGTGAAAAAGTATTTGTTGTTAACATTCTTTTTTCATTTGGTTTTTCCAGTTACGAGTCCTTTTTTAAAGCTGATCATTTTGTGTTCATTTTGTTTAGTTCTTTTTTCATGACAAATTTAATGTTTAGTATAGAGCTTAGAAAAAATTCGCAGTGTGAGATAGGCAAGAAGTAAGGCATGTAGCAACATCAGCATGGCAAAGGGCACTCCTTTAAAGGCAAGGAAGGGCAAAAGTATTTTAAGTCAAGTGATAGCGATTGCTGTATAAGTTGTGCAATTTTTGAATCAAGCACGGGCAACGCTGCTAGTATACTATAAAATTGCATTACCCCAAATATGTATTTCAATTTACATAAGATAAAACCAGAGGTAATATAACTAGATTAGAGTAAATGATCACATAGAGAGATCAATATGTGCAGAGGCTAAAAAATAAGTGATGTATAAACAATACTCAGACCACATATACTGTATATCCTCCTTGCACATTAAAACAGGCCATTATTTTTCCTTTACATATGATCATGCATTATCTATGCTTCTTGTACCTGTTGGCATAATACAGGAAGAGTTGCAGATGGGCTGAGTGAGGCAAGAATTACCCCTTCATGTTCTATACATGTTTAATGGGGAAAATGTCTGGTAATTGTGCCAGCCAGGGAAGTTGTCAAAACATCTTACAGAGCATGTTGAGTTGCTGTATTCTGTATTCTTGTTCTCTTATTGTCCATTCTCCTCATAAAGTCTTCTCATTCTTTTTCTCTTCCTTGTGTCTTAGTGGCATTATCACATTGCTTGGGATGAAACTATAAAAAAAAACAAGTTCTTATATGGTATCATTTAACAAAATTCTCAGAATAGATTTCCAAGTGGGTAATCTAATCTTGAATGTCATTCGGATTTCAAATTGGTCATAACAATGTTCCATCAGTCTTTAGCTTATCTGCTACAGCTATTGACATTTTCTTAAGGAGATTAAAGTTTACATCCTTCTAAAAATAAATAAAATGCCAAATAAAATCTGTACATTTCTACCTTGAAAAATAAAACAAAAAAAAGAAACATTCAGGAAAAAGGATTTTTTAACTTGTGTTATGTACAAATCAACTTGGGATAGGCCAGAAATGAAAAGGTGGAGAGAGTAAAATGATTTGATGGATATCATGCTTGTCCACATATAGGACTGAAATAATAACTTGTTAAACAGGGTAGGTGTGTCTGCCATAGACCAATGGTTAGCATGATGATCTCTTATGCCATTCAATAAGTGTATTCAATCTTCTTTAGGTACCCCAGAATTGTGGCCCAAGTGTTAAACTGAGAAACACTTAGAAAACAACTCTGGCATCTATCATAGATCAATATCTACTAAGCTCACTTCACTGACCGATTCACTAATGTAGTGAGTTTGCTTCTCACTGGGTTTACTGTGGTCTTGTACTAAACTAAGGCAGGCATGAAAATAACTAAAAGTGTCTGCCATAGTACAGTAGTTAGCAATCTAATTTCACAAACCAATTTGATAATATTGTGAGTTTACGGTGACCTTGTGCCAGTCTATGCTGTTCTTAGTAAATTACTGCTGAATAGACTAACCACAGATGTCTAATTACTCTGGACAATGCCAAGTAATATTGCTAGCCCACTGTGAATCTGATTGGCCCCTCAGTTTGTGTACTAATCATGTTAACAAGAAGGCTCTTTTATAGAGTGCAATTACAAGACCCACTTAATACATTTTGCTATTTTTAACTCCTAACTGGGAGAATGTGTATATTCCACTCCTATATTACAAATAAATGTATTTGATAATGTGTCTTCATTTTTTAAGGTGAAGTAATGTAACAATTGCATTTAAGTTTCAAACTAATTTTCTTGTCAGTGTTAATTTATTTTATTGTTTCTTACAGCATTTTCAAGATTATAACTTTGCTCAGATATTTATTATATATGCTTTACTCATCCTTATAGCCACTTCTGCTCAGTGATATAATCTAATCTAAAGTACAATTATTTTATAAGGCTTATTTAAAAGTAGTTCACTGATAATAAAAAAAAAACAGTATTTTTTATCATTATTCAAGGAGATTCATTGCTTTGTTGCCAAAATATTTGAATAGAAATCATGATAAGAGTATTTGGCTATTATAATTACATATTTGTCAGCTGTGAGGACTTGCTCATACATTAACAAAACCCTAGCAAAAATCTATCTATCTATCTATCTATCTATCTATCTATCTATCTATCTATCTATCTATCTATCTACCTACCTACCTACCTACCTACACACACACACTTTGTTATTAGAAGGTCTGGTTAAATCCTTTCATAATAAAAACTAAATGTTATAGAATAAGATGTAAGCTGTCCCAAAAAAATATATATATACACATTTTGTATGTTAATATCAGCTCCATTTTTTTAACACGTTGACGGCCAGAGGTCAATTACGAAATCTGACTTCAAAGACCAATGTTATAATAGACAAGTCAAGCAATAAAAATTTTTTATCAGTTTATTTATAGCTTCAACTGAAGGTTTAGCATTGTTTTCACACTAAAGGTATCACTTGTTGGTTCCCACAGATGAAAATGTATCAGAAAATGCCAAGCACAAGATAACTTGCAGTTGACATGATATAACTCATAGTCATTGCTGAAATTAAAACTACCAACACAACTTGTGGTTAGCAGAGCATGTGTTAACTAAAAGTTAATTAAACTCTTTCATAATAAGGAATAAATGTTATAGAATAGAATACGGCTGTCCCCAAAATATATATACACATTTTGTTTGTTTGTAGCTTAAAGTTAATTGTTTTTTTCACAAATATCTACAATTCTCAATAAAATTGTCTAATATACACAGATATATTCTTGGTTGTTATTACTTTTATGTTGTACTTTCCAGATTTCCTTGGGTATCTGTCATTTATGGTAACCTTCCAGGAATTTTAAACCAAACACTTTATCCAATCTATAGGGGTAGATTATTCTTGTTCTACTGTCTAAGCAAGAAGATATCTTATTAAATCATTCTCATTATATTGTTTGTCTTTTCCATTGAATCAGACAAATTTTCCACCACAAATGAAATGCAGTATTTAAAGTCAATTGGATTAGAGTACATTTTGACATTTCTTACCTAAAATATTAGAGTAATAGATGATGGCCTTTTCCCACTTTTGTTTAGTAGTATTTTTTGAACTAATAGCTTTTTTGTTGATGTCTTCTTCATACTATAAAGCTACTAAAGCTACCATTGTAAAAGCTGTCATTCTTTTACAGATCGTCTACACACACCGTTGTTCCTTCATAAACGTTATTCTCCATGTAACCATCACCGAGTGAACCCTGCAATTCCTCCCCCATGGAATGCAGCTGGAGATGAGGCTGCTAAAATTGCTGCTGAACATCAAGTAAGTGTTGGATTAACTATAAAAGCCCAAGACACTTGCAGTCTGAACCCCACTTGTTCCCTCAGAAAAGCCACCATTCTAATATCACATGGTTAAAAATATTCTTAAAAAAACTTTTCAGGATAATTTTTTATCAATATCATATAAAATTTTTTTTTTTTTTTTAATTGTATTATTTCAGAGTTCAAAGCAAAACTCCAGCTAAAAACAAAAGCAAAAAAGAAAGTTATTTTTTAAATTTCATATTTTCTCTGTTTTCTTCATCTTGAAAATAATATCTACCATTTGACAAAGATACAAAAACAAAATTGGTGCTGTAAGTTTCTTGGAGATGTTTTTAAAAAATTATTTAAGAATGAAATGATTGAAACCAATAACATAGGCTATTTCTTGGTCTCATCAGACTTATTTCTGTTCTTTTGAAACCAGAACACTGCAATCACTGTATCTCCTTCTATGTGTTAACACCATTCTTAGTTTGTGAGCTTTTTGCCTTATTATTGTTGCTTAACCTAATTTTGTTTTGCAAATATTGCATGCTTAATATTATTTTTGCTCTGCTCTTCTCTTTTCTTTCTCGTTATTTTTTTTATCGCAAACTCTGTCAATTTTGTTTGTTGGTCATTTCTGCCAATTACTCTATAATACTTTTCATTGTATTATAAACATTTGAAAAATGGATAAGCTGGTAGAAAAATTTCTGATAAAATCTACTTCTCAAATTATATTCATTAACAACTGATGTAGTAAATCTTTTTACAATAAGAAACTCTTTAAACAAAGAAAAAGCTTAAAAGAAAAATAAATGTTTATAAGACCCATTGCAGGCAACAACATTGATATTTTTTTTAGAAAGGGGATTAATATGGGTAATGTTTATAGAGCTCATATAGTAGACAATTATTGCTGTTTAGTGAGTTTAATCCTCAATGGTTGCCCTAAATTTGTGGCCTTGTACCAGACTAAACTAAAGCAATTACTACTTTTTAGTAAGTTTAGTCTATATTGGGCATCATACACGTAGCCTTGAACCTACAAAGTAGCTTGAATTTTATTTTCCTTTCTCTTTAGAGCAAAGTTTACTGCAAAAGAATAAGTCTAACTAAAGAGAGAAAGCTAAAAATTTAAAGGAAAAACAGGTTTAAGATTTCCTCTTAACCCATTAGACCAGAAATTTAAAACATTTTTTGTCCATATGAAGATGGATTCAAATGCTGATCAAGTTCTGTTATGTGGATATTGCAACTGTTATCTTTGTATCGAATGAGAACCGAACGTTACACAATACATCATGTAAAGAGAATAAGGCTTTCTTTATGAGCAACTTTGTACTGCCATTTGTTTCTCTTCGCTGATGATGTGTTGTTACACAGACAGTTTTGAAATAATGGAATTTACCAAAAATATCCAGAGATGTTGTATCACCTAGCCGTCATATTTCAAGTTAAAATGTACTTGGTTCTCTGAGTATTTGTATGTTGGGTATCAATCCTATTGAAGTGATATGTATACCAACCAATAAGGTATCCATAACATCCAAAATGTTTTCCACAAAATGATATCTAAAGAAAGCAAATACATGAGAGTTTAAAATTTTATGAAATGTTTATTCTGTGAAATTGGAATAAAATAAAAAGGCTGGCTGTAGAAAAAGGTACACCTTTGGTTAACATAAAACTTTGAGTCCAAAAGTCACCATTTCTGAACAAAGAAAAGTATGACTTACTGACAGGCTGGAGACAAGTGTTTCCTGTTAGATCTGTGACCCTATGCATAAACAAAAGAGAAGAAAGTTCCTTTTTGAAAACATGGGTTTATCAAGGTATCAGTTAGCTGACTGCTAGTTGCTGCTGCTACATATTTTCTCTACAGCCAATCATCTGTGTTATAGCCTAAACTCACTATACTATTTTGTGGAACAGAAGCTAAGCCATTTAATTGTTGTGTAAATAATATTATGAGGTGTTAACCTGTGAAACGGTTATTGACACAGAAAAGACAATCAGCAACTAAAGTTCAAGTTCTGGTTGAGGTTACTTATTTTTACTTCATATTAATACTCCAAGGCTTGAATTCATTTTACCCAGAAGTCTGTCTCATTGTCAGGTGTTTTGACAAAATTTGTCTGAGGGTTGACAAAATTTGCTTGGCATGAGGGTCGACAAAAGAGAGTTGAAAGTGAGCAGATTGATAAAATATCTTGACTGCTTAGGTAGTAGCCAAAAAAAATATTGTTACTTCTGTTATGTTATTATACTTGATAGAGTGCAGAGAAATAATTTTTGAATAATATGTTTAGGGGGAAAGACATTGGCCTGAAATAATTTTCCTTTTTTTATAAATCCTGGCACATTTAATTATATTCAATAGGAGTGTCTGATACAGAGCAAAGGAGATGAGGCTAGTTTTGAAAAGTAATGTCAGTTCATTTATCAATAAATGCTTTTTACTATTTTTATTTTATGTCAGTTGGATTTAAAGAGAGCTTTTGAATTACTGGCTGCTCTGCTATTGTGGCTTGAGTAATGAGTTGGCCGGTCAACTTGACACCCCCAAAGCAAGTGGAGGTGGGCAGGCGCGGGAACTGTGATTGGTAGCTGGCTTGTTGATGTTTTGCATAGGCGAGTTACCAAGCTCTATGTAATGGGCTAGAATGAGAAGGAGGGCAGTTTTTTGTCTCAGAAGTGGAGACTGTCCGTTGCTATGACAGCAGGAGAGAGACGAAACCATTTAATTTTTCATGACACATTCCAACACAAGCTATTTCAGCATTTACTTTGTCTCTAGCAAGATGGCGGAAAGACCGTTTGACATAAAACCTGATCTCCGAATTCAGTGGTGATACGAGTGGACAGTCTGTGGTTGAATGGATCGAAAATGTGGAATTGGTCTGCGAATTATGCGAGATCACAAAGATTGAACGGATTCTTCCACTGCGCTTGAAAGGCAGCACCCTTGCTGTGTATAGGCAGCTGAGTAAAGAACAGAAAAGTGACATTGAGCAAATAAAGCACGCTCTACTAACCGCATTTGGAACTGACCGATTCATGGCCTATGAGCAATTGCAGGCGCAGCATCTGCGACCTGGTGAGATAATAGATGTATATGTGGCAGAATTAAAGAAGCTTGCCGTACTGATTGTACCGCTTCCGGAAGAATGGATGACCTGCGCCTTCGTGTCTGGATTGCCTAGTCATGTTAAGCAGATACTCTGCACATCATCCAGAATGGAAGACATGACACTCAATCAATTGTTGACCAGAGCCCATGCTATCATGATTGACAAAAAAGAGGCTGATGAACCAGTGGCCAAGTCATTCAACCAATTGAAGTCAAAGAGGATCCGACCCCAGCCATCCATCAGTGCTCTGGGTCGAATCATTTTGCCAAAGACTGCCGCTATCAACGCAAAGAAATGTGGAGTGGGTCGGCGCGAAAGGCACGTCTCAATCTATGATGTTTCCAATCTCATAAAGTAGGTCACATTGCCTCTAAGTGTCCAGGAAATGGAATGGGGGACGCGACGTCAGCCGGTCTCTTCCCCACACCAAGTATGAAAGAGGCGCTCCCTGGGATTAAGGTGCGCATCAATGGAATAACATGTACCACTTTAGTAGATTCGGGCTGCTCTCGGTCACTCATGGACGGTTCGATTTGTCGACAGTGGAGCAGGCAAAAGATAGACGTATTAACGGTTGATGGAAAGGCTCTCAGAAGCCAGGGAGTTGGAAACATCAAACTCAGTATCAACAACGGTAACCCCGTCGCAGTCAGTGTGTAGGTCGTGGACAGCGCGTTATTAGGTTTTGATCTGCTCCTTGGGATGGACATTATTAAGGAGCTGGGCAGTGTACGCATCAAAGAGGTGGGTGAAGTTGAGTTTTCTGATCCGCCCATTGGTGCTGCTTTGAGGAATAATGAACCTGACTTCAGTGCAACTTTCGACCAGCGCAGGCGCGTATGGACCGCAACGTGGAAGTGGGCAGGTGGACGAACGTCTATGCCACTGAAAAATAAAATAGCAGAGTACCCAGTTCCAGAGCATATCAGGAGTGAATACGAAAATGAATTGCAGCTTTGGATAGCTAATGGCTGGCTTGCACCATACCCCAAGGATGAGCTAGGGCCACCTCGAGGACTGATTCCGTTGATGGCAATAGTGCAAGAGAATAAAGTGAAAGTGAGACCAGTCATGGACTACAGGGAATTGAATAACTTTGTTGATGCATATACGGCCAACGCAGACATTTGTGCCCAGAAATTGCGGGAATGGCAACAGCAAGGGAGCAACGTGGCCACCCGTGATTTAAGAAGGGCCTACCTCCAAGTTCGAGTCCACCGATCACTCTGGCCCTTTCAGACTGTCATGATAAAAAGACGGAGATATTGCCTCACTCAATTGGAATTTGGTCTTAATGTGGCTCCAAAAATCATGTCAGCAATTATGAATGTGATCATGTCGTAGGATGAGGAAATTCGAAGGGCAACGTCATCCTACATTGACGATGTTTACGCCAATGAAAACATGGCCTCTTCAACGAGGACTAAGGAACATCTAGAACGCTTTGGCTTGGTGTGCAAAGGCCCCAGAGCCACTACAGGATGGAGTGAATGTACTTGGACTACACGTCAGTAGTAATGGAGAGAGTGATGCAAGATGATCCCGTGTGAGGTGACTGGTGTGTTAAGGGGAACGAGCTCACCGTTTGGGTGGATGCCAGCTCGTTGGCCATGGGTGTCACCCTTGAGGATAACGGGCCCATCATAGAAGGCACTTGCTGGTTACGACCTGAAAATGATGCATGACACATAAACCAGGCTGAACTAGATGCCACTCTGAAGGGGGTTAACCTGGCGCTCCAATAGCAAGCAACAGTGCTACACATCGTCACGGACTCAGCATGCACTCAGCGTTGGATATCAGATGTACTTACCAGAAGAGCATGACTGACCACCAAGTCATCGAGCGAGATGTTGATACGAAGGCGGCTCGCTACACT